CATGTTCATAGCAGCATTATTTACAATAGTCAAGATGTGCAAGCAGCCTAAGAGTCCATGAATGGAGGAATGGATAAAGAAGTTGTGATATACGTATACACAATGGACTATTATTCGATCGTAAAAAATGAGGAAATCCTACCATTTGTAATCTTGAAGGCATTATGCTAAGTGAAATAAGTGAGACCTAGAAAGACAAATACTGTACGATATCACTTATACGTGGAATAAAAAAAAGAAAAACCCAAAACAAAAAAAACCCCCAAACTCCTCGAAAGAGAGATCAGAATTGTGCTTACCAGAGGTGTAGGGTGGGGGGAGAGGGATTAGAGGAAGGTGGACCAATGTACACACTTCCAGTTATAAGATAAATAAGTCCTAGGGAAGTGTTGTACAATATGATGACTGTAGTTGACACTGCTGTATGACATGTAAGAAAGTTGTTAAGAGAGTTAGTCCTAAGAATTCTCATCACAAGTAGAAAATTTTTTTCTTTTCTTTTTTTCTCTTTTTATTTTATGTGTATGAGATGATGGAAGTTAGCTGAACTGATTATAGTCATCATTTCACAATATGTGTAAATCAAACCGTCATGCTCTATGCCTTAAACTTATACATTGATGTGTGTCAGTTATTTCTCAACAACACTGGGAAGAAAATAAACTCAGAATTTTTAATATGCCTCAGTTTATCTTTTAACATAAGCTCTAATTATATTCAGAAATCTGTGAGGCATTGATCAGTTGAACATTTCTAGACATGAAATTGGGAGCTATAGGTTCCAGTCCAAGCTTTCTCTAAATGGTTATGCAATCAGCAGCGTGTTATTTGTCCTACTAAGTGAGCTTCAGTATCCCTGTTTATTAGAAACAAAAAAGGAAAACAATGCTTAACCTATCCATCTCACATACTTAATGTGAAAATATGAGAGATATTGAGTACATGAAAGTGCTTTGAAAGATTCAAAACAAATTGCAAAATTCAGACATTAAACTCAAATAAAGGTTTTTTGGGGTGGATGTTGACTGAGCAAAGTAGTTCCACTACAATGTTAACTGATGAGTTCAGTTAATAAAAGTAGGTGACTTGGCAAGAAATGGATTGATATTAATTATAAAAATTACATTATAATTAATGCACTCATTAATGATCTACAATCAATATCAATTGAAAGTTTATTATTTTAAGGAGAATGGACAATTAGCAGTTTGACACCATGAAAAAGAGCAAACCAACTGACTGATGGTACCCCATCAAGTTTAATTTTAATTTGTTTTAAAAGTATCTTCTTTAAGAGTGAGTTTAAATGCACATCACTCTTTCTCCTTTCAGAAAACGAATATATATGTTGTTTAAAAAGCATATCTGAACGACAAACAATGAAGTCTGGCATATGTAACAAGAAACGAGCACATCTTCTAAATGGGCTCGATGGTATGGCATAAAGTCTATTCTCTCGCAGTAATATAACTGGATTGCTCTTTAAATTAAGTGAATTTGTATGTCCGCTTTCTCTTAACAGAATCAGTTTTGATATACTCTTTGTTCGTGCTGTTACGGGCTTCAGTCTAAGGGTTCTTTGTGTTAACTTTTTAAAGTTACATTACAAAGAGGTTTTAAGATTTCCCAACAGGCTTTTATTTAACCAAAGCTTTTGATCTCAAACCTGCTGGGGCCTAGTGAAATCCTTACCAATTCTCCAGTAACTCCGTATTGGAATTTGAAAAGACCCACCTGAAGAATTGAACTCCCAGTATGGTTTCAGCCATCCTTTAGATCACTCTATTCAAGCAGACAGCGAGGGGGTCTAGTGCCCCCTTTGTGATCTGCTAAGCAGCCTAAGGTGTCCTTTGCATAAGTTGTACTCCTGAGGAAATAAAAATCAGGAGGACAGACCTATATACCTTATTTCCTGCCATCTTCAGTTAAAGGGGGCTTGCAGGGAGTCTGCTTAACATCCTCTGCTACCTAAATACCTTTTGGACACGAGAACTCAATAAAAGAACTTCCATTGCATCCATTACCCTACTGTGGTGCATAACAAATTAGATTTAAAAGGCTACTTTTTTCCCTTACAGCTATTTCCATCATTTTCTTCAAAATTTCAATTTAGTGTCTAGTGACAGAATATTCTATAATATACTTTAAAACTCTATAATGCCAGTTATGCCAAGCGAACATTTTTTCCAAAGAATTAGACTTATATTATTGTAGACAAATTGGAGTTTAAAAAATAAGGTAGAAAATTGATTACGTTTAAAACATGTTAAATATAAAACTATATAAAACAAATATTGTTTTTAGATAGCTCTTTTAAAATGTAAATGTGCATTAATTTTTTTTACCTCAAATTACCATTTTTAGAAAAATTTCACTTTTGAAGTTGAAAAATGTCAATGCCACATATTAACCTATTTTGAGAAAGGGTGAAATAAAATTCTCAATTATATATTTAAATATTTTTATTTATTTCATTTAAACACTCCATTATGCAAAGACTTTAGGACACATAAACAATAGATGAGCATGGAAAGCAAATAAAACTTTGTAAAGAACACAATATTTGCTGCTGTACGTGAGAAGAACAGATTTGCCAGTGGACCACTTTTCCTACGTAAATATTTATCTTAACCTTTCTATTAATGTGGTGTGATTTCATTATTTAAAAAAAATTTTGAACTCCATCTTGATAAGTATAGATCAACTTACTCCTATGTTACTGTCATTGCATCAAATGTTATTATCCCTGACAAAGCCACAAATTAGCTTTATGCCAAAGAACTAGAAAAAATATGTAAGTATTTCCAGAAGCTGTAAAATATTTGCCATTCAGTGCTCACTGTTTGAGGACACATTCTCTCACACTACACGTGTACCACCTATTACTAGACATTAGAGGCACTTCATGTCAGGATGGTTTCCCCCTCTTTGGGTACTGGTGTAACTACAGAAAAGTAGCCTGGAACAATCTCAATGCTGAAGATGCAGTAGAGTTGTCAGGCAATGGGTTCAATTTGGGTTTCAGAAATAATGTTACCATACCTATAGAACATGACATAATTGTTCCTTTTCTCGACTTAATGATTTTGTTACACATCTGATTGGTAGATATTTATGAGTAGCTGCCTGATGGAATATTATTTTCTGCAGTTAGTAATAACTGATTAGATGAAGATAAGATGCTATAAATTCTTTCTCTGGAGAAAAAGGACTTAAAGATTTGCAAAGCTGAGATTGATGGAAATTATGATAAAAATGGTTTCTGAGTTTTATGGATAGTATAATACAAGTGTTATGTATGATATGTTGTGGTACAGTAATCCCCTGCTCCTTTGTAAAAAAATTATGCATTTTTCTGCATAGACAAAAGGGTTAATAAAGTATTTCTCATAATCCCAAATTTACTATCATTTACTCTTATTCATAGTGTAAACAGTTACAATTTGGGGGATGGTTACTCTGCAGTATCTATGAGTTTAAAAAATGTATCATCACCTTTGAATTAAAAATTCCAAAATGTAGTCTTTAGAAATACCCACAAGGTTGGTACAGCTGCACTTACAAGGATGTTCTCTAGTGCATCATGTGTCAGAATAAAAATTGCAATCAATCTAAATGTCTATCAACATGAGGTTGCTAATAAGGTATCAAACATCCATGGTAGCAGCACTGTCGTTGCATACTTACCAACTGCCAAGCAGTAACTCCTCATTCCACGTGGCCATGATTTCAGGGTAGGTATTGTTAATCTCACATTTTATGGGTTTAGAAAGTGAAGTACAGAGATAGTAAGTAATTTGTCAAAGTCACAGAACTACTAATGGTGGAGCTAGGATTCAAACCCAACCAAGCCATTTGGTTGCAAAGCCCATGAACTTAACCCACTACTATAATACTCATATATATTCAAAGAATGAGTCAGTTTTAGACATCATGAAATGGAAAAGATGTCTAAGAAATATTAAATAAAATTTTGAAACACGAAGTGCAAAGAGGATGTATAGTATGTTGTCATTTGGTAAAAATCATATCCATATACATTAGAATATGGAGAGAAGAGTTTGAAGGAATATTCACCAGGCTGTTTACTTGAAATTTTCCGTGGGTAGGACCCTTATTTTCTACTTTGTATATTTCTGTATACAGAAATATTTTATAGATATGTATGATAAAAAATAATCTAGTTCTTTAATATATCAGCATATAATTCGGAGAATCAATAAAAATAATGAATTATTTTATCAACATATGCAGCATTATTTTCAAGATCTCGAGTGCTGGTAGTCAATTTGGCTTTTTAAAAAACCGCAGAAATAAATTATATCATGTAGAATTTTCATACTGTGGACATTATCGGTCTGTTTTGGGGGAGGATGGTGTTCCATGATAAAGCAAGCTTAACACCAAGAGTTTTTCCTTGTGTAAGCAAGTTTTGCAAGTGACTTGTCTTGTAACCATTGAATAAAAGCCCTGCTTTGTCAGTAGATTTATTCTTATTTTTATTTCACATTCTCTATATTAGAACACAAATATTTATTCTTATAATGTTTTTTAGGGAAGGAGGATTCTCAAAACCTTTCTGATATACTATAAAAACACTTACTAATTTTGCACTTATGACCTGCTTACACAGGCATACATTTCATCCAGGTTCCTAGGGACGGAACAAAATCTGTGCATTTTATTCTGAAGTTACAAATGATATTTGATACGCTACTGGGCTAAACACAGGGTTTGGGCTGGCAGTAGTCTTATTTCTTACATTTCAGTGCTGAAAAAAAAATCGGTCATGGGTAATGCTTTCAAAAATTCTCATCCAAAGCTTTGCTTAGGAATAGCATATGATTTTAAAAGGTAATAACATTCCCTGTAATCAAGGGTGAGTCAAGGAAAATGACATCTAAGAGAGTAAGTCAGCCAAACAAAAACTTGACCCAATACCAAGCTCTTTGTCAGAATCACAGCTGCTCCATCAGCCAATGAGATCTGAAAGGGATGCAGCCAGGAAGTCAGGTGCCGAGGCTGGAAAGACTCCATTCCAGATCCGTTGGCAGTTGGCCCTTCAGCTGCTATACAACCCCATGATGGGCCCAGGGGTATTGGAGCTGGTTTTGGACCACAGGAGGAGAGTGAAGTGAAGTACAACCAATATCGTCAGCAGCAAGCTTGTCAAGTTAGCACTGGTAATATATTCACGGGAAGATATATTGTTTTGCTCTTCAGGTTCTGTGGGGAAGGAGGGCCCCCAGAGAATGCATGTAGTAACACTGAAAGCATATCTACCCCTCTGCTCATAGAAACTGGTTATGGTGGATCAGTTTTCTTTTAACCTTTCGATTCATTCAAGTAGCATGTTGTATTTACTAAGCAGGGTCTTGCAGAATATAGAGAAGTGAATACTAGGTTTAAAGGGGAGGTGTGGTTAGAAGGGATATGATACTCAGATTTTAAAAAGAAAATGGATTTTTGAATTTGGCATTATTAACAGAGAGCTGTCATGTTCCTTTCCTTCACTAGAGAAAATAAGTGACCTAAAATAGAAAATAAACGACCCTTGCTGTGATGAGCAACTCACTGTTGTTTAGTGTCAAGAATGCTGCTAGCAGGGCCGGCCCCGTGGCCGAGTGGTTAAGTTCTCACGCTCCACTGCAGTGGCCCGGGTTTCGCTGGTTCGGATCCTGGGCGCTGACATGGTACTGCTCATCAAGCCATGCTGGGGCGGCATCCCAAATGCCATGACTAAAAGGACCCACAACAAAAAATACACAACTATGGACCGGGGTGCTTTGGGGAGAAAAAGCAAAAATAAGATCTTAAAAAAAAAAAAGAATGCTGCTAACATTAAGAAAAAATTTGTAATCACCTCCCCAAAGAAACATGAATAAGCAGAGAACACATCTTTATGGCAAGTCGTCTTATAACACCTTTGAAGCTAAGGAGTGTCCTGTTTCCATAAAGCAGGCATTTCATAAATGTTGAAAACTGAGTAAGACTTGCTAGATCTTGAGCTTGTCTTTGTTCAAGCTCACCCAGTGGTATGGCCTCCGGGTTTATGTTATCACACTCTCACTTTGGTGCTGAGGCTTTGGATAAAATTTTATGAATATAAAAGTTTATGAAAATTTCCTTACTGAAAGTTTTCCTTATGAAAATTTTCCTTGTTGATAAACACATTAGTCCACTGTGGTGAACAGCACCAGTATGTTCTCGATAAATGCTTGCTAACTTTAATAGTATTCACTAGGAATTGTGAGACGTTATGGGGAGTATGAAAGACATTATAAGGTCTTAACTTTTAATGGGAGATACAGAAGGTACAGGATAAATACAAATAAAATATAATAGAAATATATTAACATATGCATAACTTAAAAATTCATCATCTACACATACATAAAGAAGCGGCCAAAGGTTGTTGACTTTCCACCTGGCTCAGAGGGAGGAGATGGACAGGTTTCATGATCACAGCTAACATTCGTTACGGCCAAGCACAATGTTAACTGCTTTAGATATATTGATTATCTCATTTAATTTCCCTACAACCTTAAAGTAGGTAACATTATTGTTGTTTTCAGATATGAAAACGAGGTCTCAAATTGTTAAAATAATTGCCCAAGGTTAGTAGGGAGGCAAGCCAAGGTCTGCAGCCAGAAAATCTAACTCAGTGGTCCACATAAGGACATAGGCTATGATCTGAATATTTGTTTTGTGTCCTCCTCAAATGCATGTGTTGAAATCCTTATGCTTTATGTGATGGTATTAGGAGGTGGGGCCTTTGGATTAGGGCATAAGAGTGGAGCCCTCATGAAGGGGATTATTGCTCTTATAAAAGAGACCCCAGAGAGCCCCCTATTCCCTTCCACCATGTGAGGACACGAGCGAAAAGACGGCTGTCTATGAACCAGGAAACGGGCCTTCACCAGAACACGACCCTGCTGGCACCCTGATCTCGGACATCCAGCCTCCAGAACTGTGAGAAATCAATGTTGTTTGTAGGTTACCCCATCTGTGGTATTTTGTTATGGTTGCCTGAACAGACTAAAACAACACACAGCAATATGGAAGAACAGTAATCTTACAGTCATAAGTCTTGGAGTTCTGGAGCAGTCACAGTCATAAGTCTGGAGTTCCGATATAATCACAGCTGCACATTTAGGACTCAGTTGAGAACTGAAACTGGCTGAGTGTGCTTTTAGAGATCTAGTTATCTTTTTGTCTCCTCAACAGCCAGTGTGTGTAGCTCCCTATTGTTGAATGTTGCTGTCCTCATGACCCTCTCTGACCCTGATGATACGTCTGCTTCTTCTCACTTGAACACTCTCTCTAGCCTCCTTTGTCCCTCAGACTTCTGACCCGTTGAGACTTCCTTTGCCAAGGGCTGGCCCCGTGGCCAAGTGGTTAAGTTCATGTGCTCCACTTCAGAGGCCCAGGGTTTCACTGGTTCGGATCCTGGGCATGAACCTAGCGCCACTCATCAGACCATGCTGAGGTGGCATCCCACCTAGCACAACCAGAAGGACCTACAACTAGAATATACAACTATATACTGGGGGGCTTTGGGGAGAAGAAGAAGAAAAAAGATTGGCAACAGATGTTAGATCAGGGCCAATCATAAAAAAAGAAAAAACAGTCTTTAAAAAACAAACTTCCTTCGCCAAGTGGTCTCTGCTCACTGCTTTCTTCCTTTGTAGATGCTTTTCAGTCTCTAATCCTCTCTCCTCGCAATGGCCTTCCCTCATGTCTCAAATTCATGTGCCTCTGAGACTGGCTCAAAACACTGGTACTCAGCCTTTTGTTAAATATGAGTCTAGATGTTGCTGTGAAGATATTTTTTTTTTAGATGTGATTAACATTTAAATCAGTAGACTTTGAGTAAAGCAGATTACTCTCCACAATGTGGGTCGCCCTTAGCCAATCAGTTGAAAGCCTTAAGAGAAAAGACTGTGGCCCCCCCTAGAAAGAAGGACTTCTGGCTCTAGACTGCCTTCATACTCAAGATGCATCATTAACTTTTATCTGGGTCTCTAGCCTGTTGCCTGCCCTGCAGATCTTAAACTTGCTAGTCCCACAATCACATGAGCCAATTTCTTAAAATGAAGCCCTCTCTTTCTATGTATATATATATATATATATATACACACACATCCCCTTAGTTTTCTTTCTCTGGAGAACCCTGACTAATAGACCGGGGTTGTAGGTTCATAAAGATATGGGCTCTGGTAAGAAAAAGCATTGTTTCAATATAATCAGAGATGATAAGAAGGGAAGCTGACTAGTTGATCTGAGAAATGAGTGACAAGACTAAGAATACCTTAAATAAATAAACATGAGATGGCTTTGAATTGGCACATGGAATATCAGACAGTCAATTATAAGAAAAGTTCCATTATATCTAAAACTAGTGCTTCCAATGATATAAAAAACAAGTAGAGTGGCTTAGTATAATTTCAGCTAGAGAAAAGGATGGGAAATTTAGCTTTATTCAGCATCTACTGGATGTCAGGCCCTTTATGGACGTGACATTTTCACTAAATTATTTAATTTCACAATATTTAATTATCACAACATAATTTAATTTATCACATTTAATTATCACAATATCCTGCCGAGTGGGACCCTGAGATTTAAGGAGATCTGGTAGCCTGCCAGTGGTTACTCAGAAAGCAAGTGATGGCCTCTCTTCTTGACTATGGATATCCCAACCAAGTCACTCACTGCTTGCTTGCTTAATGGACTGAACTTGCCTTCGTCTCAGGCCTGCTGTGCATATTATACCCTTGGTGTGGACACTTGCCCCTGCTTCGTGCTTCCTCATCATCTAAATTGCAGCTTGAATATTCTCTTTAGGGACTCAGTATCTGCTCTCCCCGGGCCTGAATCAGGACCACTCGTTAAAGCTCTCCAAGCTCTCAGCATCTTCTTCCTAGCACATATAATATGTGTTTATGTGCAATCATTTCTTTAACTCAGTCTTCCATGCTAGACTGTAAGTTGCATGAGGATAAGAACTGCATCTATTTTGTTCCTCATCTTGTCTCCGGGTCCTACTGTAGTACATAGAAGGGGGCAGTGACTCAATAAATGTATATTGAATAAAGTAATTTGAGTGAATTTGAAACCAAGTTTGTCTGAGGCCATAGTTCATGCTCTCTTCCATGATATCACATGGCTTTCTGATTCTTTTGACTAAACAGTTACAGGTTTCTGACTTTCTAAACAATAAATAGGAAAGCACCTGGCCTCCTGTCCCAACTCCTGCCCCAATCCAAACTCTGCCGAGAAAGAAGCCCATTCTTTAGGCAGCACATCAATGTCATTTCACTGTCAATGACGTTCGCTCTCTCCGGGCACCAAACCTTAGAATGAGATTTGTATTTTGTCTCCCTCCATTTTAGCCCAGCAACCCAAGTTTTAAAACATATATATACAAAATGTGTGACAGTAGTATTTTGATCCATGCTAAAAGTTGTAAAGGAATTATTAAAGCAGGAGCCTCAGATATATCTTTGAATAAATATTGATCAGTCCAAGAAAAATCAGAAACATGCAGATATAGAGAAATATCCTCAATGAAACTAGGTAAGAACACTGGCTGAACTTGTGTCTTGCAGCCATTCCAACTAAATGTATCAAAACCAGAGTAACATACTGATTATGAATGTTATGTAAATCTATTATGTTTTATAGGAAACAAAATATTCAGACTATTCAACCTCAGATTGCATCTTAGTGACATGGTTTTTTAATGCCTTAATTCTGCAGGAGCTGTTGACTCTCCAGCAGGAAGAAGTAAGCTAAAAGTCAAAGGGCATAAAATCAAAGATTTATTTGTCCTGCCTATGTACTAATTTCTCAGATTTTGGAAGATTTAGTCATCAGATGTTTTACCACACTTGTTGTAACATCGGCTTCAAACCTGTCAGTTAACCTTGGTGAGTATGCATTTATTGAAGGTTCAGTTTTAAGTTTGTACAATCAGTATCTTGGTACCTGAGTGTGTGTGTGTGTGTGTGTGTATTTTTAAAATTCCTGTAACAAATTTATTATATCTTACATTGTGCAAAGTTCAGATAGGATTCAAAATTTGACTTTTCTGAACTCATATTTTAATCTGTCTAGTCTTACAGCTCATCACTAATGCTAATTAGGGACTCTGCGCACACACACACAATTAAGCCTTAATAGATAATTCTTTTTCAGTTAAGAATGTGCTCAGCTAGAAGTTATGGAAAACCGAAAGCTTGGCTTAAACAAATAGAGGTTTCATTATTTCCTTTAACAAAATGTCTGGAGGGAGGTAGCTGCTGGCCTTGGGTCAATAGTTCAACAACGTCAGGACAAATGTCAATTCAGTTCTCTTGGTTCTTTCCTCAGCTCTGTTGCCTCATGGTTGCAAGGTGGTTGTACACGTCTAGACATCAAGAAAGCAAAGCTTTCCCAGAAAACTGTATTAGCTTTCCAACTATGTCTTACTGGATAGATCTATGTCATATGGCCTTTTTTTGCATCAAGGGAATCAGGAAAGGATTGAAATGGGCATATTGCTAACCTGATCAAAATTGGTATTTTTTTTTTTGGTGAGGAAGAAGGGAAAGAATGGCTACTGGAAAGTCACTTAATGGTCCCTGCCACAGACTCCTTTGAAAACAACCCTTTTTCTGATTAATAGCCATACTAAAATTGGTCAAGTCCTGTTGTCCAGGTGCAGGGAATTTATGAGGGTGTGAGAAGGGAGACCCTAGAGTGCCTCCTCCCTGTCACTACCTCAAAGCATGGTGGTCTTTTGTTTGTTGAAAGAAACCTTAGCACTCACTTGGTGCTTACCTAAAGCGTATCTCCCACAGTTACTGTGGTGTCAGTCACGTTCCTACCACTTTGACCACAAATTTCTTCTTTATTTCTGAAGCAGAGAATTTTATCCTTTCTTTAAAATTCAACTATGTATTAGATCTTTTGTTATATTTCATCCAGCATTTCCACAAGTTAGCTGAGAAAGAGTTGTTTGTATTACTTCTGCTTGTCGTGTTGCTAAAAACAAGAATCCCATTATTATTATTAATTTATTAATTTATCAAAACACTGCTGCCATTCTTACTATTCTTGTCATTTCCATGCCATTTTAAGAAGAGACTCATATGGCTGCTGGAATTAAATTCTCAAATAATCTGAGTTACAACTTTTCCATATTGTTTTTACATGACTGATTCCCATATTTAGGTTATGCTTATTATATAGAGATAGAAAAAATAATTTATACAGATTTATATGTCACATACTGTTTTGAATTCCTTTAGGCAAAATAATATCAGGATTCTATCTATAGAGTTCTTAAATATTAATTTATTTTTTCTCCATTCCTTTGAGATTTCCATTTTAATTTTAACAGCTTTTCCCCCCTCCACTCCTATTATAATCCCAAAAGAAGGAAAATATGAGAGGAAGATACTGAAAGAACTTGTGAGAAATAACAAAAAGAAAACAATATTATGTAATAAATTGGCAGTAAGGAAGGAAATAAAAAATTAAAGAGTATAAATTTTCCGGAGCAGAGAAAATAAGATAATAATACCCCAAAGAACATGACTGAAGAAGCTATGGGTCAATGAAAAGAGGAAGGGGTGAGAAAGAGCTGGGATGGACAAAGTATAAAGTGTTGTGGGTGAAGAGAAGAGAAAAAGAACAAACGTCATTGATGCCTGCTTTGTGCTGGACAGAACATGAGGCACTTTTATGCATATCTAATAGGTAGCATCAACAAATGCATGAACTGTGAATGATTATTTTATTTGGTAAATCAATTAAATCAGAGAAATTAAATAACTCATCCAAGATCTGAAAAGTTAGTAGAAACCGGAGTCAAAATTCACACCTAAATCTGTGTGTCTTCACCAAAAACTAGGGTTGGATTGGAAAGGTCACTCTGCACCCTCTGTGTGGAACATGGGACAGATGCCTCTGCTTCTTTCTTCTTTTCTTTGCCAGCTAATTACAGCTCTGATTAGTACAGGACAAAGGAAAATGCACAGAAGAGAAGCCTGAGAAGGTTGAGAAGGAAATGGCTGGGAGAAAGGAAGATGATTCGTTTATAAGGTCTTTGTCCTCCAGAAATGTAACAGGCCTCTGAGGAGGAGAAACTCAATGTCTGTGGGGACAGCTTGGGCCTTCAAGAAAGTGTCACCCAGAGGTGAACGGGAACAGAAGAGCTGAAGCATTCTCAGACCTCCCTACCTCAGCAAGCCAAACAAGAGCCATAAAAGGTCTTCAATTCTTCCTCCTCTCCATTCACACTATTATACCGCCTGTCCAATATTGCCCTTTAAAACCAGGCCTCCTTCAAGAGCAGTGAATTAACCAGCCAGCATTTCTTAAGCATCTGTACAACACATAGGATTCCACGTCATTCCTGTTTAAGACTCAGTACAATTTAAATAGGGTATGCTTCGTTATTTATCCCCCAAAACCTTCCAAAAACCAAAACAGTATTATACAGCAGTTTAAAAACTGAACGAATACTATTTTTCCACTGATGACACTGAATATCAAGTCTCCATGTTGCTAGTGTAGAATGAAAGTCATGTCAGATATATGGTGAGGTGGGTGAACTTACCTTGTCATTAAAGTTCAAAAAATCAGAAGCCCTTTTCTTTAAAAAAAAAAAAAATTAAAGAAAATTCTTGCTCATTTTTTATCACCATTTCCATCATGTGGATTTTTTTTTTCAGAGATGGAAATAAAGATCAGTTTTAATCCCCAAATTCTAGTTTAGTATCATCTTAGATCAACTCGTGATAAACCCATCATTTAAAATTGTCTGTTCTAATCAGAGACAAGTTTGCAGTTTTCATTCAAGAATGATTGTTTTTTTGGGGTCTTTCTTAGGTGCCTGTGGAGCGTGCTCCCCATTTCAGAGCGAGGGTCGAACTCCCTCTGCAAATCTTAAATTGCCCACGCTTTTGAACTCCCTCTCTCTTTTAAAGCTACCTAGGTTAAAAATTAAGCCCCTACAGTGAAGGGCACCTGTATTTGCTCGCCCTATTATGCAGCTATACTGAAATGCTTTACAGCTGTCTAAATTAGCATAATTAAATCCACATCAATTAAAAAGCTCAATCACCTCTCTCCCCTTCACATGTAGATGGTGACATTTGTCTAAGGTGGGAAGTAACAAAAGAACTTTTTGACAGTTGAAGATCTGGCTGAAAAGGAGGGTAATAGGATTGGTCTATTGTCCTGGGTTCACCTTAAGACTGGGAGCGGTGGGCAATGAGAGCTGTTCGGCCAAAGTAGTAGGCAGTTTGCATTTCAATGCTGCTGGCAGCAGGGCCGGCCATTAGAGATGTGCATTTTACAACGGGCCTCTCCTGCTATTGCTCTTTATCCCCAGTAATGAGGGTAAACAAAGCACCATTATGACTTTGGGGTAGTGGTTGTTTTTAAACTGGAGAAGCCTGGTGACCTCAGGATAGTGACAAGACGACACTGTGTGGTGCTGGCAAAGAAAATTCCTGGAGATGGAAACTGACGTGGGGTCCAGGGGTTAATTTCTGGAACAGACAAATTTGCATACAAATGAAAAATGATGGGATTTCCGTTCTCCTAAATTTTCAATGTCATCAGCATCAAACAGCAGCCCGTGCTCGCTTGCTGTTTGAAGAATATTCATTACTTTAGAAGGAGGGGCATCTTGTTTGGTGTTCAACTCAATGCAGGTCAATGACTTAATTTGTGAAACTTCATCTGGAGGGTGAGTTTCCTGTGCATCTTTGTAAGTCTTCCAAATAAGGCCTGAATGATGGTTATTTTTATAGCCATAAACTTTTCTGAATAAGCATTGAGTGGCATGTGGTTGACTACTTTGAGCATTTACCTTTTTCACCCTCATGAGTTGTTTAACCACAGTTAGCTGACCTTTCCCTCTCATAATATTGCAGAGGATGACAACTTGGTCTATGTTAAAAATTACCGAATACAAGACACAGGATGTGACAATACTTATTCATTTCCCCAAAGCACGTGATATTTCTTCATTCCTATTCTGACTTTTAGTTATTTGCTTTTAAAAAAACTATTTAAAGTTTTCATTTTTATTTTTTTAGAGTAGTTTTAGGTTTGTGCAGAGTTCCCATAGACCCATTATCAACAGCCCCATCAGAGTGGTGCATTGATGAACTAACACATAATAATCACCCCAAGTCCATACTTTACCTTACGGTTCACTCTTCGTGTTGTATATTCTATGGTTTGGACAAATGTACAGTGACATATAGTCATCATTACAGAATCATGTATCATTATAGTGTAGGGGAGGAAGATATTTCCTCTCCCCAAATGGGGGTTCTCGTCTGGCCGGAGAACGAATTAAATTCACATGAGACAGAATAGCAAGAGAAAATTAAACAAAGCTTTATGAGGAACCATGGCCCGGGGCCTTTCTTCCCGAAGGAAGAAAGGGCACCGAAGAAGTGGGGTGCACAGAGTGGTTATATACCCCCAAACAGGGTGTTTCACATGTGATTGAAATGTCCCTCCCACAATAGTCACAAGATCGCCCTGTCGGCACTTGATGGACACAGCAGGTAGTGGTCTGCTATCTCGGTGGGCGTAGCAGGAGGCAAGTCGATGAGCGCAGCAATCAGTTCCTAGCCTAAGGAAAGATGCTTAATCCTTAAAGAAATGCCAACGTTGGGAGGGGGAGGGAAGTCAGTTACAGGAGGTTACCAGACAAGCACAATAAAATGCAGATTTAAGTCCTTGCCTTTGGTATTGATTAAGAGTTTCTAGAGAGAAGGTCATCTCCTTTCTTCTTCCTGGTACAGAGAGGGAGGCACCTTTTATAGATAGAGATTTACCTTACAAATGTAAATGTGTCCTAACAAGGGGCAAGTTCCATTCCTCAGAGCCTCCTTCCCTGTCCCAGTTTATCAAAAGCAATCAGCCTCAAATAATCCTGATGCCAAAGAGACATATCTTGGGGTGGCCAATTTCAGGTCCCTACAATAGTATCATACAGTATTATCTATATATGGTGTCATATAGTTTCTTTGCCTTAAAAATCCTCGGTCCTCTGCTTATTCCTCCCTCCCTCCTGTCCCTGGCCCCTGGCAACCACTTTTTACTGTCTCTATAGTTTTGCCTTTTTCAGAACGTCATATAGTTGGAATCATTCAGTGGGTAGCCTTTTCAGATTGGCTTCTCTCACTTAGTAATATGCACTGAAGTTTCCTTCATGTCTTTTCGTGGCTTGATAGCTCAAGTGTTTTTAGTGCTGAACAATATTCCATTATCTGGATGGATACCACAGTATACCACAGTATATTTACCCATTCACTTACTGAAGGACATTTTGGTTGCTTTCATTATATGCTTTTTTGTGTGTGTGTGTGTGTGAGGAAGATTGACCCTGAGCAGCATCTGTTGCCAAACTTCCTCTATTTTATGTGGGACACCACCACAGCATGGCTTGACCGGTGGTGCTAGGTCCACACTCAGGATCTGAACTTGCAAACCCAAGGCCACCAAAGCTGACTTTGAGAACTTAACCATTATGCCACAGGGCCAGACCCCATTATCTGCTTTTTTGATGACACAATTCATACCTGCTCATTTTTATAATGTAAGAAAAAATACAAGTATGCAGAAATAAGAAAATAAAAATTATTCAGAGCTCTGGTTCCCAGAGATGAGTGCTAGGTAATGTCTCAGGGTACTTCCTTCCTCACCCCTTTTTCCATGCTCTATTATTTTGAAACTGTCTCCTTCTTAGTAAGGCTGCCCTCAAGGAAATCCTGCTGGCGGTACCTTCTTTTTTTTTTTTTTTTTTTTCCATATACATATATATTTTTTCAAGTAATTTTGTTGAGATCGTACTGGTTTATAACATTGTGTAATTTTGGGTGTACCTGATTATCTATCAATTTCTCAATACACTTCATTGTGCTCACCCCCAGTAGTCTAATTTTTATCCATCACCCTACATAGGTGCCCCTTTATCCCTATCGCCCATCCCCCTGGTGGCACCTTCTTATGAGATGGAATCTCTCTCCCCTCTCCACTGTACGACTAATGACCAAGAAGACCCTGAGTAGCTTCCTGAAACTCCTCATTCTTCCTTCTTCTAAAATACAGATTCCTCTAGATGCAGCTTCTAGAGGCTGCAGCAAATTAGTGACTGTCAAAGTATATCAAAATTCTTTAAATTTTACGACAATATTGAAAGGGTGACATTTGTGTAATGAAACAAAAAGTATTCCCCTCACTTCCTCAGCTCTTCAGAGCTGCAGGAAGCCTTGGCGGGCATGCCTTACTCTCCGGGCCCTTCCGATTTGCCTGCAGCTTCTGTGGGGAAGGGTTCAGGATGCTTTTGGGGTCATTGAATGCTCTTCGACACTTTACTTCTCTCTCATGTGTGAGATGCCTCCTTGGCAGTTTATCATTTTCCCCCCTCTCTCTGAACTGGTAGTAACAAATAACAGAAACATGCATATACTTTAGAAATCTTACGAAAGGAGAAGTTCCAATTTTCAGGGTATGAAATGATTAAGAAATTCCTTAAAGAAATAGCATTAAGGCAGCTGAATTGCTGCAATATATAAATTATAAAGGCAATATACACAGGAATAAAATGTATTATGTTATTACAGAACTTCACATGTATCTATAGTCTGGTCACCTATATGTCTGGGACAATAAGTACCTTTAACGTACATGTGAGTTCATCAGAAATACTTTTAAGTTTTCCACCAATTAACATTTTTTTATTGTAATTATGACTTGCCAAAGTGGAATTTTGAGTCAATAAACAAAATGACTCAAAATCCAGATGTCCTTTTTAGACAAGGAGTTTTACACTGATTTCACCTAACCTCATGTCGCAACTATCACAAAGACATAATTAGAAAGTTTGGTACAATATTTAGCCCTGGCCGCTGTGTGATGGAATTGTTTGACTGCTGAGTGACTGCAGCTCGTTTGCATCCCAGTGTGCAGCGAAAGGCAGACTTCAAAGAAAATATTATATCTCCCAACTCCAGCTCCTGAGTGTCTTGAAAGTGTAATACAGCAAGGCTTAACCCTCCCTGCGGCGCAAAGGGCATCGTGACACTGAAACTCCTGTTACGTCACTATTGAAACACTGGTTTGCAAAGAGTTCTTATTAGATAAATATAGTTAATGTCTTAAAAGGCAGGAGGAAAATACACTCAAGTCATAGGAAAAAACGTGGGGGAGAAAAGTCTTTAAAGTTGGACAGTATGTGTTGACAAAATTTGGAGATTTTAAAACATGTATCTACACATTTATTTTATAAATTGTACATAAGACTGGCTCCTTTTCCAGTGCAAAATCAAATATTTAGATTTGCAAAAACCTATGGAAGCCAGATTTTAGACAAAAAGGGATTTTTTTGTCAGACTGTCAGTCTCTGAATTTCATCACAATCTGTTCAGCTGTTTTTGTTGCAGGCAGGCGTAAAACGTACTGGGTAAGTGTGTGTTTGTGTTTATTATTAAAATGGGGATGCTAAATCCTGCTTTCTAACAGTCATCCCATTCTTTCAGCCTGTGTCGGCCACAGGGAAGCAGACTCACGAAGAACAAGTATGAAAGTCATACACGGAGCAGGAGGGAGAGAGGGCACAATGGCAGCAAACGCCGATGACTGGCTCCTCTTTGCAAAGTACAGTTGTAATCTTTTTAATAAAATGACCCTGGCATTTTGCCTCAATAACTTTTCCTGTACCTATATGTATGGTTCTTGCCTTGAAGGGGGATGGGGAAATGATTTGCTGGTGGCAGATCTAAATGTTTTATTTAATTGTCATGAATCCTTTATCTCATCCTCTACACTAATCTAAAAATAATAACTTGGGCGGACAGTTTCAACATCCTTTAATGCACATGTATGATTATATGCAAAGATTGCCTAAGAGAATATTGAAGATAGAACTTGAACCTCCAGTAGGTGGGACATTATATTAAAGGACAAACAAACAAACACCACATCTTACATAATTGCATGTCTATCTTAATATAGAGTCACACCTAGCAGAAATGACATTTGAGATGATATACCCTTCATAAGTAAAGCTCTTTACAAAAGGAGGATAATACGGTTGTTCCTAATCACAATTGACTATGACAGAGTGAAGTTTGGTCTATTTTCATATTTTAAAGATGCAGAGAAGAAATTTTACCTCCAGCTGAGTGTATTAGTCTGCTCAGGCTGCTGTAACAAAATACCACAGACGGAGCGGCTTGAATAACAGAAGTTTATTTTCTCACAGTTCTGGAGGCTGGAAGGCCAAGATCAAGGTGCCAGTAGGTTTGGATTCTGGTGAAGCCATTCTTCTTGGCCTGCGGACAGCACCTTCTTGCCGTATTATCACATGGACTTTCTTCTCTGCGTGAATGGAGAGAGACTCTCTGGTGTCTCTCCCTCTTCTTATAAGGACACCAGTCCTACTGGATTAGGGCCCTACCCTTAGAACCTCATTTAACCTTAATTACCTCCTTAAAGGCCTCCATCTCCAAATACATCCACTTTGGGTGCTAGGGCTTCAACCTGTGAATTTGGCAGGGACACAATTCAGTCTATAACACTGAGATAACATGCAGGCTCCCTGGAACTCCAGGTTTCTTTGCATCTGGCTGGCTTTAAACTCAGCGTAAGACTAGTCCCCACATTCTGCTCAGAACTTCTGATTTGCAGTTTTATATGCATCTGATTAGTAACACATGGGAAAAATGGATGCTGTTACTCCATAAATGTGATTTGGTAGACAAATTGTTTCTAAACATAAGGTCTTTGGAAAAAAAATAGTTAAAGGAATTCTTGGTGATTGAAAAAGGTTGAGAGTCATTAGAGAGAACATTACCTGCTTGAGGAGGTGAATTCAACTAAGAAGTCTCTTAACATCACTTCTGGTTTTCAGACATAAGAGGCTGAATTCAGTCATATTCATAATACAATTGCATCCCCAAGAATGTAGAATTATGTGGTATTAAGAACCTATTGAAATATAGCAACATAGTCTTCCTTCCAAATTTTTAAAGAAGTGAATATTGCTGCTAGATTTACAAAGAATAATAAAATTTCCTGGCCTAGTTGTGTACCTGTGGCAGAACTGGCTGGCTGGATCCTCGTCAATCCAATTTCCTTTTTCTGGGCACCCAGGGGACTCCATTTCCCAACTTCCTTTAGGTTGGGTCATGTGATTAAATCCTGGCCAATTGGAAGTGGATGGAAGTGATGGACAATGCTTCTAGGACTGGCCAGAAAACCATCTCTGTGATCTTTCATGAGTTCTTTTCTCCTTTGGAAGTAACAATGGAGGCCATGGGTTGAAGTCATATGATGCAAAGAGCCTGGATCCCATAGTGACCACTTGAAAGAGGCATCCAGAAAAACTCTGACTTTTTGGAAATAAGAAATAAATTTTATCATGTTAATCTACTGAGATTTGGGGATTGTTTGTTACAGCAGCTAGCATTAATTTTCCTTACTAATATGATATCAAGGAAAATTTCAAAAATTAGAGACAGGAGACTAAATTTTATTTTTTGAAATATATCTATATAGTATATCTATAATATATATCTATATATATATCTAGAAATGCTAGACAAAATTACAGAATTTCTAATTGTTTTAAGAAATCAAATGAATATAGTTGCTATCCTTGCATCTTTTATCTCCATCACCGGCAAGATTCTGGCCAACATCTCTCTGAATTGATTATTAATTATTATTTTTCACTAGGAACAGCCACAAATCACAATAGGGCATTAGGCTTTAACCTGTTCCTATCTTTGATACTACAGAACACTGGGAAGCACTTTTTAAACATGGATTTAAAAGTCCTGGTCAGATGTCACCGGCACTTTCCTTTTTCCTCTAAAATACATCCTGGTGAGAATTTGTATCATCTGGATTCTGTTTGTCTGGCAAAACCACTGTGTAGCTCAGGGATTGCAAGTAGGTTGCATCTGGTACGTCTACTCTGAACAGCTCGTAGTAGCTGCCAAGACAGTGTGCCGTGAAGGACTTAGAGATGGAGCCTGAGATCATTGGAATTATCTTTCTCTGCTGAGGACAAAGTGTGGAGTGGAGGTGCGTGTGTCCTATACTTGCCATCATTGGCTTATGCTGTGTTTCTAAATATTATGTTTCTACATATCCATCTGTCTACCTCAGCTAGACTTCAGTCTTGTTGAAAATGTTAAAACCCCTGTGTAAGGCCGTACACTCATCCCAGTAGCGACTGTTTGATCATGCAATGGTGTATTTGCCATTTTTGGAATTGTGTTCACTTAGGTCAGACTCACTCTAATCTGTCTGACTCATCTCCAATTATCAGTGAAAATGGCACTGGATAAGATCTGGTATGTAGAGTCATAAGCTGGCACAGACATACTAATAGATTCTGTGCCTTCTATTAGATGACGATAAGTGCTGGGAAGAGAGTGCCATCAAATATTGTTGATGGGAGTGTACACTGCAATAAATTTTCTGTAGTACAATCTAGTAACATGTATCAAAATGTAAAATATATCTACACTTTGACACAGTAATTGTACTTTTTGGACTTTACTCTAAAAACATAAATGGACATTTACATACAATGATACCAATGGTAGCCTTGTTTTTAGTAGCAATATCTATCACTAAAGGATCAGTTAAAGAAGTTATGGCATATTCATATAATAGAACACTGTACAGCATTTGAATAAGAGAAAGTAGACCAGTGTGGAATGACAAGCTGTCCATGGTAGAATGTAAAGTGAAGAAGGCAGGTTGCAGAACAATATGCGTAACATAACGTTAACTTATCTAATATACAGTTTATAGAGTAGTGCATATGATATTGTTCTATCTAGTTTATTTACAAAAGCCTTCTATGACAAAAATATACTGGAAGTACATATCCCACGTGTTAAAAGAAGGTACATCTGGGATAGGACAGAAGCAAGGGGAAAGGCATGATCGAGATAGCTCTCTACATTATATACTTCTGTATTGTTCAATTTTTTTCAATTAGCACATATTACCTTTTTATCAGCAAAAGCAGAATTTTATTTTGAGCAGAATTTTTAAAAAGCACTAAAAGGGGCTGGGCCAGTGGTGTAGTGGTTAAGTTCATGTGCTCTGCTTCAGTGGCCCAGGGTTTGCCGGTTTGGATCCTGGGTGCAGACCTACACGCGGCTCAAGTCATGCTGTGGCTGCATCCTACATACAAAATAGAGGAAGATTGGTACAGATGTTAGCTCAGAGATAATCTTCCTCCAGAAAAAAGAGGAACGCTGGCAACAGTTGTTAGCTCAGGGCCAACCTTCCTCACACACACACACACACACAAAGCATTGAAAGCTGATAATTCCTGTATTTTCTTAAAGGTAAAATAAAAATCCTAAATACAACATTATGCACCCCTATGTTCATTGCTGCATTATTCACAATAGCCAAGACATGGAAGCAACCCAAGTGCCCATTAACTGATGATTGGATAAAGAAGATGTGGTATATATATACAATGGAATACTACTCAGCCATAAAAAAGACAAAATCGTCCCATTTGCAGCAATATGCATGGAACTGGAGGGTATTATGTTAAGTGGAATAAGCCAGACAGAGAAAGACAAATACCACATGATTTCACTCTTAAATGGAAGATAAACACTCAGACAAAGAGAACAGCTCAGTGGTTACCGGAGGAAGGGAGCTGGGGGTGGGCATAGGGGGTGCAGGGGAGCAATTATATGGTGTCGGACAAGAAATAATGCACAGCTGAAATTCACAATGTTGTAAACTATCACGAACTCAATAAAAAAAATGCTAAGTATAACAATTCAAAACTCCTCTAGAAGATGCATATGTGTTCTGATGTGCGTAATATATTTTAAAGTTTAGCCACAACTATGAAAAGATAATCAATCTAAAGAAAATGGAAACAATAATAGCTTGCTTTGGGAAGTCTGATTTTAAGTGCAAATTTTTATGGAAGTCTACTGTTTCTGGAGAATAATAAATGATATATGAAATGCCTGGAAAATACAGTAAAAAGCAGAGAATCCAATCAAGAAGGTCAGTATGTGTAGCGGGTGGCACAGCTGTTGATGTTTACTTGCCTAGAATCCATTCCCCCTTCTTATAGTATAGAAGATTAATTCCAGTTGCTTGCCATTTTTAGGGACTCATTGTGCCCTGCCCTATCCTGGTCACTGGGTAAGCATGGGACCTAAGCTATGCCCCTGTCTTTCTTCTAAGAATTGTACTTTCAAACACAATTACACAGAGAGTAGTTGCAGCTTCCTGGATCCCCAAGACTCTACTTTTGTTTTGGTTTGTTTTGTTCTATTTGTTTGTTTACTTTATTTTCCGAGACTTATTCATTCATTCAATAAGTATTTATTTAGGTGCCAAGTACTGTGCAAAATAGTTAAATGTCCCTACCCTAATGTTCTACTTAAGACCATAATAAATATAAATCAGCAAACACAAAGCATGTGACACAATGATAAGTGCTACAGAGAAAAAATAAAGGAGGGCAGGAAGAAGGGATGCATCCCTATTGGGGTGGGATCGAAAGTTTAAATAGCAGGTGAAGGAAGATCTCACTGAGAAGGTGAAGCGTGGAAAAAAAAAAACTGGAAGGGTAAGAGTGAGCTGCATTGTGACCTGGGGAAAGATCTGGAGATGCAAAGGGCTGAGGTGGGATTGTGCCGTGGTTTTCAAGGAATGT